TATTTATAAACTTCTATATGATATTGGTTGTCTGAAGCTCATGCCACTGCCCACTGATCATTAGTCCAGTGGCTCGACGAGCTGTTTCATGAAAACTAGACCTGTCATCCGTCACTAACATGGTGGTGGCGCAGGGGTTTAGTCGCTGTGACCGGCTATGGCTTTGGACTCTATGATCCGAGGTTCGAGCCCCGCCACCCGACTTTGGTGGTAGGCAGCTTCCGCTGTCGTCCGGTTCAATACCACGCTTAACCTATCGGGGCCTTATGTGGTTCGCCACTCAAAGTTCCGGAGCTTAGATTGCCGATTTCAACCACTGAACAACAGGCCCTCGTGACTATGGAGTTTACCCCGTCTGCTGTTCGTCACACCTAGGTGTGTAATAAAAATTTAAAAAAATTCTCGCACCCTGTGCTGGTGATCAGCTGGTTTAATTCCGTTTAGCTGATGTGTTCCAGGCAATGACTTGAGGTACAAACCCTATTATCGCCACCCAAGTTGGTTGGTAGACAGATTTGCTATCATTGGCCTCTACATCACATCCTTCCTATTTACGGCCTTAGGTCGCTCTCGGCTCGAAACAGTGTCTAATGTTTTTGGTTCTTATAACTGAACACCAGGTGCTCGCTTCTATGGGTTTTACCCTCTCTAGTCCGAATTACGCTCAGCTAAGTTAGCTCTACGCATGGCCTAGTGTTGGAGGTTGAACTCCGATTGCTCGAAATTGCGCATCTGGTCCGGTGCCTTTCATTTATAATTTGCATATGACTTCTGTTCCTCCCGCAGCAATCAAATCCGACTTCGGTTGAGACCAGTACAAATCTGGTGTGTAGGTAGGGGGTTGTCTAGCCGAGTTCAGTTATGCACCATTGAGTTGTTTGACTTGATGACCTTATGTTCCTCAAATCGGTTCCCTTCACGTTTTCTGTCGTTTCTGTTACTCCGCACACTCTTACCTCTGGCCAATTGGTTTCCCGGTCTACGCGTGTTTCACTAACACCGAAACCCGTGTTGCATTCCATTCCAGTTGAACGGGGCTTTGACTATCGGCACTATGGACGGAGCCAATGTGGAGATGTGTGAAGAGATGGGTCGCGAGAACATGTTTGTATTCGGTCTGACAGTGGATCAAATTACGGAACTCCACAAAACCGGGTAAGTTGTAAATCCAACAATCTGCGTGGCATTTTAACGCGTGCAACCCCAAATGTAATTGTGACTATAGTTGAACTCGGTTACCTTTATTCTCCGTGAGATGTGCGGTGCTTTTTTTGTCGTTGGAGTAGCGTTATTTTTCGCATATTGTATTTCAAATGGAATTCCAAACATGCGGCGGTCTTTGTGTTGCGTTCAAATAGGAAGCAGTGTTCTTACCGACATTTTGCGGATAACGTGTAACAACGCT